AACCCGTCACTTTTGACGTGTTGGACACCGACTTCGATGTCATTTTGGGGATGCCTTGGCTTTCTAGCGCGGACCACACGGTCAATTTCCATCGACGCACGCTCACGATTCGTGATGCAATTGGCGCCGAGGTCCCGTGTACTATTCCTCCTGCTCGCTCTTCCATTCGGTGCCAAGTCGTGAGTGCCAAATCTTTTCAAGACACATGCCGTTCCGAGCATGTCGAAGAGATTGGCATCGCTGTTCTTCGAACCGTCCCGACGACCGACTCATCGTCCACGGATTTGTCTTCCGACCCCCGTGTGACCCGGTTGTGAGACGAGTTCTCGGATGTTTTTGAGACACCCTCCGGTTCTAGTGCCGGACCGGCCAATCTCTCACGAGATCATACTCGAGGCCGGTGCCGTGCCACCGAAGGGATGCATTTATCGCATGTCCGAGGAGGAGCTCACGGTTCTCCGTGCGCAACTTGACGATCTACTTGACAAGGGTTGGATCCGCCCTAGCAGCTCACCTTACGGTGCGCCCGTTCTCTTCGTTCGGAAGAAGAACAAGGACCTTCGACTTTGCATTGACTACCGACGCCTCAACGCGCAAACCATCAAGAACGCGGGGCCTCTACCTCGCATTGACAATTTGCTTGAGCGTTTGGGCGGCGCCAAGTACTTTTCGAAGTTGGACCTCAAGTCGGGCTACCATCAGATTTCCATCCGCCTGCAAGATCGGTACAAAACCGCGTTTAAGACGCGATATGGGCATTTTGAGTGGGTAGTTATGCCTTTTGGCCTCACCAATGCCCCGGCTACCTTTCAGGCGGCCATGACCACCGAGTTTAGCGCTATGTTGGACCGTTTTGTCTTGGTCTACTTAGACGACATCCTCGTCTATAGCCGAACTCTAGAGGAGCATCTCGAGCACCTTCGCCGTGTTCTAGAGACTCTTCGGTCAGCCCGGTACAAAGCCAACCACGACAAATGTGAGTTTGTCCGGCAAGAGCTTGAATACTTGGGCCATCTTGTATCTCCAAAAGGCATTCGTCCGTTGGCGGACAAGATTCAAGCCATCCAGGAGTGGCCCGAGCCGAAGAATGTGACGGACGTCCGATCCTTCATCGGCTTGGACGGTTATTATCAGCACTTCGTCAAGGGTTACTCAAAGATCGCGGCCAACCTAAGCAAGTTACAAAGCGAGGAGCAGCCTTTTGACTTTGACGACGATGCGCGCCATTCTTTTGAAACACTCAAAGCAGCACTCTTATCCGTCGAGGTGTTACATATCTACGACCCGCTTCTAGCTACGTGTGTCACTACTGATGCGTCGGGCTATGGCATTGGGGCCGTCCTTGAGCAGCACGATGGCACGGACTGACACCCGGTCGAGTACTTTAGCAAGAAAGTACCTCCCGTGCATTCGATCGACGACGCACGGAAGGAGCTTCTTGCCTTCGTCCACGCCCTCAAGCATTGGCGACATTTCCTCCTTGGTCGGAAAGCATTCCGATGGGTAACGGATAACAATCCGTTGGTATTCTACAAGTCGCAAGACACGATTAACAGTACCATTGCCCGTTGGATGGCTTTCATCGACCAGTTTGACTTTTTCCCCGATCACATTCCCGGGAAGTCAAACCGTTTTGCGGACGCCCTCTCACAGCGACGGGATCTTTGCACCGCAGTCTACTCTACCTTCGAGATCGACGACAACTTGCGGGAGAGCTTCATCCGCGTCTATCAAGCCGACCCCCACTTTCGCGACAAGTACGCGAATTGCTCCTCTCCGAATCCTGTGCCTTCGCATTACCGGATCTAAGAGGGCTACTTGCTTGTGCATTCACGGGGTAAGGATCTTCTTTGTGTGCCAAGTGATTCACACTTGTGCACACGGCTTCTTGGCGAGTTTCACGATGCGCCCGCCTCCAGACATTTTGGTGTCAACCGTACACTTGGCCGACTTTGCCAGCGGTTCTATTGGCCCGACCTCCTCAAGGACGCCACCCGCTATTGTGAGTCGTGCGAAGTCTGTCGGCGTTGCAAGTCATGCAGCCATCGTCCGTTCGGCGAGCTACAACCACTACCAGTTCCCCTTGGACGACGGGAAGCAATTGCTATGGATATTACCGGCCCCTTCCCGAAGCACAAGACCGGCGTTGATGGGATCCTCACGGTCGTCGACTGCCTCACCAAGTACGCCCTGTTTTTGCCTTGCCACTATCACGCAAAGGCAYCGGAGTTAGCCGAGGTCTTATACACCGGTTGGATTCGCTCCAAGGGCTACCCCAAGGAGATCGTTTGCGACCGGGACACT